ATTTCCGGAATTTATGAAATTTAGGAATCTTCTGGAGTAAGGGGCTATATACACTCCCAGAGATTTTCAGATTTTGGCCTAAATAATCAGACTGTTTAACATGAATTATTTAAACTCACATTTGATATCTTTCCCATGACAGACAGTCCTTCACAAATGTGTGCATTTGATATTTTACTGAGCCAAATGTCATGGATGAAGTACTTTAAATAGTGCTTTCCATATGAAAAAAAAAAAACAACAACAAAAAAAAAAAAGAAAAAAAAAACCACACAAAAACCCCACAACCAGAATGCATTAAAAATGGAAATAAAAATATCATAAGAGGCTTAGCTTTAAAGTTCTGTTACTGGGCAGCTGAATATTAAATCAGAAAACTTAGACTTTTCTAGAGGGTTTGGGATTTTTAATTGAAAAAGCAGTGCCAAGTTCACTTTGATCTTGGATTTCACTTTTCCTTTAGGAATTATAAGAAATAATTAAACTACAGAAGGATTTAAGTATTTCAGTACTAAAGCTATCATCCCCTTCTTCCCACCTCCACCCATACCTGACACAATGTGCTGGGAATGTGTGACCTTCAGGGAAGGTTAGCAAGCAGATAAAGGAGATTATGTTTTGTCAGTAGACTTTGCAGTAAGGCAGATATGCAGTTATACAAGCCTACATTTTTCCTCTTAGGAAATTACCCAAGCACCAGGAAGCCCTACTTTTGACAAGGTACTCTTTTAAGGGAAAAGTAGGAGTTGAGTGAAAGAACAGAAATACTGTACCCTGGTAAGATTTTTGTTCTCTGATGAATGCACTAATTTATCCTCATACTCACACAGTGACAATTACTTACGGTAGATCATGATATACAAAATTCTAGTTTTAAATAAAAAAAAAAAGAAACTTACTGAGTAATTTTAATTTCTGGCTCTTTCCTATATTTTTCTACTTGGGAAAAAGCTTTTGGGAATATTGGATGACTGAGTAAAAATAGATTACTAAATTTTGCAGTATAAATCTCTACTTCACAGATTCCTGGAAGAAGGAACCAAGGCCTCAAATTGAATGATCCAAAAGCAAATTCAAATAGAATTTTCCTGAACTAGTGAGAGTTTTGCTGTCATGCTTGGGAAAACTCAAATATAGAAGATGAGAGCCCAAACTTGGAATTAACCCACAGGCAACTGAGGTGGTAGAGCATTTGCAAGTTCCTTTATGAAGGGTCACAACTGTGCCAATGATTCAAAATAAAATGTCTAAGGAAAGCAATGTGCTTAGGAAATTCCCCTTTCCCTTGTTATTTCAAAAACTAAAATTGAAAGAGTACTTTGTAATTTTTCATTCCCATGAACTCACAGGAGCCAGACAAAGTGTGAAAGTTATTACTATCTATCTGACTATCAAACCTGAATATTTGTTGATATTTCTTTTACTCAGCCTAGATGATGATATATTATCACCACCTTTATTTACATTATAACGCTGAGTACTTATTCTTGTGCCATTTTAAAATTTTACTTAACATTTCTCCCCATACAAGTTTGGGTTTTTTAGCTGTGGATTTATTTTCATTTTAGTTAATGTCAAACTAATGTTATAACTCAGATGTCTCTCAAATCATAAAGACAGTCGTAGACATCTTCAGGTTACCTTTTACAGAGTTATTTTCTTCCTCTCTTAAAGCATGACTGAACTTTTAATCAGGGGTGAATAAAAAGACTTGCTGTAACTATTTCTGTAACCTTTGCATAAAAAAAGTAAAATCCTTCTGAGGCCATATACCACAAAACTTTGTCTAGAAGAAAATCTGGTATTAGGCCAAATGCATTGTAAGAGGTACTCTGTTTCTGGAAAGCATAGAATAGACTATGAAAGCTGAAAAGAAACATTGTCACCTCCCGTCACTTTGTGCAAAAATATAGTTGATAGAACTCCTTTTTAAGATGTTTTCTTGGTTTATTTTGGATTTGTGTTATTCTCTTACATGGTATCGTTTTGATATGTTAAACATCTTGCTTATTACATAATGTGATTTATTTCTAGCATCTGCAGTCTAAGACACTATTTTGCCAGGTAGTGTATAATAATGTATTTCTACGCATCCTTCTGATGTTAAACATCATCTGCTTTCCCAGAACCTGATCAAATTCAGGGCAAACTTCTTGAAGCTGTGACAGTAATGTCAAGGCTGGCTGTTGCCCTTGGTCTGGAACAGTTACTTTGCTTTCAATTTAAGTTATAGTATGTACTGTACTCAGAAAAAAAAAAAAAAAAAAAAAAAAAAAAAAAAAAATGGACGGAGTATCTGTTCTTTGATTGACTGGAAAACTGAAAATTACCTGAATAATGACAAAAAATGCTAAGAATATCTCAAAGAAATATCTCAAAGAGAGAGCATGATAATGTTGGGTGCTGTAAAAGTATTTAGTGGATAGCAGCATTTCAGTAAAGACTCTTCCTTTCATTAAGGGTGTAATATTTTCAAAAGTCAGTGGCTAAATAACATTGGAACAACAGCTGGGAGGAGGATGGCATTAGAAAATGGATATAATTAAATAACACATAATTATCACATATAAACAAGATACTTCCAAATAGACTGATAAAAAAGTAAAGCAAATGAGAGCAGATGGGGCACACAAATGTAGACGGCGGCTTTAATGGATGTAATGAAGTCAAAATGTCTGGTGTGTCAGAGTGAACTGATAACTGATAAATCCATGGCACAGTTTTTTCCCTGTGTTTTAGCAATACTTGTAGGGATATCCTGCCATCAGCCAGCAGCACACAAGTAATTCCTTTAGTAAAGAGGTTGGGGAAAAATTATTTATGGATTTTTCACATTGAATGGAGCAAACGGATCACTAGAAATTTGTTGCTAGAGAAAGGGAAAAAAATAGATTAAGTTTTAATATGTAAAATAAAAATAGAATGTAAAAGTGGAGTTCTAGTTAGAAGCACGAATAAGGACACTACTATTTTTTTTAAAAAAATGCCTGAAGATGAGAGATTGTAGCTCTTGCACGTTTTCTCAGTTTACATAATGTTTCAGAATTTGTAACAAGCTGATTTCTGTTCCAAGAGTAGTTATTACATGTCTAGTAGAAAGCAACAATTTCTGAATCTGTCCATAGAAGTAAAAATATTATTTGAGGAAAATTTGTTTTTAAATCATGGTTAATAGAACAAAATGAGATCTGAATTATTTTGGCAAGCTATATGTGGATAAAGGATTTGATTTGTCAATGTAGAAATCAAGCTTAAAAATTGAGCTTAGAAGTATGAAAGACAAATATGTTCTTTTGTTTATTTTAGCAGGAAAGCATTATGATGAAAAAATGCTGTCATAATTTCTGACGAAAATAGAAATTCCTTTGATCCCAAAACTCTATTCCTTTACCAAAAAGAAAAGAAAGAAAAAAAAAAAGACATCTCTCGGTGGTTTTTGCTACTATATATACTGAAGCTTTCTAAAGGGAATTGTCAGTTAATTGTCAGTTTAAAAAAATATTCAAATAATTAATGCTACTCATGTTCTGATCTGTACTTTCACCAAGGCTTATTTTAAAGAATGCATTTGTTTTTTACTACATATGCTGCAAGTTAGGCAAGCACTGAGTATGCAAGAGGAAAAAATAGGTAAGTTGTCCAGGGAGAAATGAAAATTCTGGCTCTGATTTGGTGTTGAAGATAGAACAGCATCTTCTGTCTCTGGCACAGTTCAGAGCAGCTGTGGCAAATTGGTTAATCTCCCTTTGTGCAAGCTTCACCTTTCTGCTTGCTAGTATTTTCTTAGATACCATAGTTACGATTTACTCCTAATTTCCTAGACAAGGATGTATTAATCAGAGAAAAGTTTACTCTGTTAAAGATGACTTCTATTAATGTCACCTGTCCCTTCAGCATCATATCTTGGTCCTTCCTGCTATATAGCTGTATCCCAAGCACAGGGCCAGGTCATCTCATCTACTCCCATAGCCCTCCCTACACCTCCCTCATTTAGGCGATGCAGACATGTTATCATTGTAGGCATGTAAACAAAACTGCTGAAGACAAAACAGTGTCTAAAGGCTAGGAACTTCCTAGTCCTTAGATCTTTAATTTCTATTAAGCTTCAATGAATTAATTTAGCCACAGTTTAGTATCATACTTTAAGAAAGGAGGATATCTATAGGGAATCTATCTGTTGGTAGCTAAAGGAGATACTGAGCCTATTCTCTAATTGGAATTCAGAGATCCTTAAGGAACTTAATTGGAAAAATATATATTTCTAAAAAGGTTAAAGCAAAAGTTTTCCAGAGGTACTCTCATATGTCCATGCATGACCTCATCTTTGGCAACTTGAACATGCCAGCTACCATGGAATAAAAGTGGGTTTTTTGTGTGGATGACTAGGGTTGCACTGATCCTAGAAAATAATAGCTCTGCACTTAAGTGAGGTATTCAATATTAAAGGGATCTACAAGATACAAAACAGTTCTTAAAGCACCGAAGCCCATGTTGCAAAAAGTTCACAGACTCCTGTAAAATGCGACTTGCTCGGTCCAGGAATTTGGTGAGATATTTGTTAAAAATAGAATCCTATATATGTGGCAATAAATCTAGGGTCTGCAGACAGAGTAAAACATATTTGGAAGGACTGGACATGCCAGCCAACTGTACATTGTGTAAAACTGATCAGAACATTAAAAGGACAAAGTGTTGCGGTTTATATCATTATATATTCTGGGAGGTAATTTCAATTGTGGCTTAAAATAAAAGTTAATGACAATGCTTCTAATCTGTACTGGAGATGGGATAGGAGACTTGCGATCAGCTGAGCACAACTAAATCTTGTCTTGTTTTCCACTGTGATTACAATATAATTACACTAACATAGCTCACGTTATTTCCAAAGCGCCTGGTTGTGTATCTGGTTGTACACAGCTATGCACTACCCTGCTGATGACTTCTGCAGATCACTCAAGGAATTTGATTGAAGTCTATATTGTCATTTTTATGTTATGCAGGAAAGATGAAAGGAAGAAAGAAGGGGTGTTCCTTAGCTTTAACCTTTCTCTTGCTGTTCGTTTGTGTCACTGAGTGTGCAACTACTGACTTTGATGGCAACGAAGAGGAGGATGTTCTGGGTAAGAGGCTACAAAAATGATGTATAAAACTACTCAAACAACAAAACCCACTGTGTTAAAATGCACTGTAGATGTAATTCTGTACTTGAGATTTTTTTTCTAGTAAACTTTTGAAAGTAGGACTAAGTTAAAAATGCACTGATTTCTCACTAACAGGGAGATGCTCAGAATTTTGCATTAAGCTCTAGTAATACTGCCTTCTATGAAGGCCTCTGTTTCCCATGCCTTCTGGAACTTCTAATCCAAAGCACTGTGTTAGATATCAAGATTATTCCCTTAAAGCTCTGCTCTAGGACCAATCGAAAAGTTCAATATTTAGGGAAAATAACTCAGGTTTTATCTCCCCGTGCAAACAGCAGAAACATGATGAATAACATTGTAGACTAATGTTACCCTGTCCTGTGCACAGCTCTCTTGAGTCACAGCTAATTTGCAAAGTTTGGTCTAAGGATGATGCAATGACTGCCCTACTTGTTTTTCTGGGCCTTGAAGAAGCAATTTGTATAGCCCCAAGTGATTTGGTATTGCTGGATAAAAGAAATAAAAACTCACCAGTTAGAAGAAGATGTTTAAGAAAAATAGCGTCAGAAGTGTGACTGTTAGATCTGGGTTGGATCTCAGACTCTTACCATTGTAAGATCATTGTTTGCTTTTGTTTCATTGAAATTAAATAAGGTTGATCAAACTTCTATACTGTATAGCACTGAGAAAGTTATTTTCATTTCCTCCCAAACAGTTCTGAGAACAGATGAGGGAGGAATACACTTTTTGGTCAATACAAAAATATTCTTCTTTCCTTTGAGAAAATTATTTAAAATTGTGATCTCTTTCTTAAGCTGCAGAGAACTATGCAGTGGATACGTCTCCCATTTGACAGGTCTGATTTTGAAGCCTAACTGGGAACACAGCTAAGGGGAACCTTTTTTTATGTTGGCACTCTACCTAATCTGCTCATGTCTTGTCTGATTTCCATCCATATTATTTCTATCAGACTTCTGCAGCAGTGCTCCTTGAGACAAAAATACTAATTGTGCACAATCATGACTATACTACAGATGAAGTTGGTGCTTTAGGACCATGCCACAATTAGCCACTACAATTTAAGACGTGCGCTGTTCCACATTAAGCATATGTTTATCATGGTTGTGTAGTCAAGACTGTTTCATATCAAATAAATTTGTTTCTCTTTAATGCTGAAGTACATGAATACCTGCCTTCTTTGAGGGCAAATTCACATTTTTCTGTAGTCTGCCCTGTGACTCCTAGTTTTATAAAAATCCTTAGTCTGAACTTGCAGTTCACAAAGGCCGAATTTTCTTGTTTATTAAAACAACTCGCTTCATCACGAGAAATCTGCTGGATTAATTTTTTTTCCTCTGTTTACTTTGTTTATAAAAGACTATAAGAAAATGATTTCAAGGAAATTGAATAGTCTTTTTATTGACCATTATTTTATCACTGGTTGTTTTTCAACCAGTTATTTAAGATTATACAACCAGTAACTGATTTAATATGAGGAACAGTTCTGAACTTTCAGGCTTCTACTCCAAAATAAAAAACAATCAAATGAGATGCTTAGAAATTAAACTAGAATCCTGTTTTGTGACTACTGAAGACTCATTGCAGTGTTTACAAAAACAAAACAAAACAAAACAAAAAAACACAAACAAACAAAAAACCAACAAAAAAAAACTTTTGCAATACTCTGTTTCTATAAAATAGTTAGATTGTTGCCAAGTAAAATTATATTTGTGGTTTCTTAAGAGTGAAATTCTGTTCTCAGTGAGTTTATCTGTAGAATTAACTGCAATTTCACTGATAACATTTATTTTCTGGGTTAGATTGTTATAAAACATTGACATATTTTACCCTATCATTCAATAAATTTCAGGTATTAAAAGATAAGTTGTGTGCATCCATTATTCGTGATGTCATACTTTTGGATCACATTGGATACAAGTGCTTTGTGAATTGGAGTTTTTCTGTCTATTAGTATTTAAATTACAGTAATAATTAAGGTTGCAAGTCCAATGGGATAAAAAAGGTTTCTCAACTTGTTTTCTGCCGGCAAAACCTGTTATTTTTCCACCAATAAATAAGGGTTATAACAAAAAATAAAATATATTAAAATATAAAAATAACTAGTTTAACTAGTTTATGTATTTTTTCAGTAATACCTTGTGGTTGGGAGCACTTTAATTGATGTTCCAAAGCCTGAAGAAAAGTACTTATAAGTTGAATGTGCTTTTTATTTATATGTGAAAATTTATCAAGAATAAATGTGACTGCTTAAAGAAAGGGTAGGAAACACATGGGTAGGAAGAGCACCGAACAGTGTGCGGGTGGGAAGCTGTCAAACTGACAAAGATGGAGAGAGAAGAAACAGCTATTCATTTGTGACAAGGTGCTTAGTATTGATATCACTTATCAAAGAGACACATGTACAAGAAAGCCTGTAAAGATGACAGCATATTTTTATAATTAATGGTAACCACAGAAACTCATATAAGGTTGAGAACCCATAACCTAAGCAAACAAAACCAGAAAGCATTTAACACAAAAAGTCAGAAGTATTCTTGACTAATTTTTATTTTCCCACTTTAATTGATATAGTTCTACTCTGAAATGCAATTCTGCAATAGTATTGTTGTCTTTCATATTTATTGTCCAGTAGGTATAATACAGAAATCAGTTCACTTTCTAATTAGAAGGATATATTTTTAACAACCAGCCCTGCAGATTATCCTTAAGAGTCTGAAAGTCAGGTTAGAGTCTTATATTATTCCTACAGCCAGGGGAAAAAGTATTGGTTTGACTTGTGTTAACATAAGAGGATTAGAGACATTATTCACCACTTCTGCTTTTGTAATATTATACTGCTTACTAGTCAAGTGATAACAGTGCTGTGCATTGGTCGTACAAGGTCCGTGTGCTCAAGGATACAACGTGACTAACTGCAGATTATCAGAGCACTCATGATGAAGTTACTATATATTAGTTAATAGTGGCTGTTCATGTGTTAAACAGCCATGTCTTGAGCTGCAAAAGTTGCCATGAGAATGACAGTAAATGTGAGAACGGCTGTGCTGTGTAGAAACAGTCTTGGCCAGTATCCTGTTTCTGACAGTTACCAGGACAGGGAGCCAGAAGGAATGGAGGAAGAAGGGAGTGACGTAAAATATCTGCACTCAACTAGTGTTCACTGTGAGCCATTTCATCAGCATTACTTTATAGTTGCCACAAACTATGGCGTGGAAAGATTATTAAGACAGAGCAGTGGAGGCTTAGTGCCTTCTGTCATTAAATTTTAAAAAAACAGAGGGGGGGGGGGGGAA